GATATGATATGATATGATATGATAATAACATAACATAACATAACATAACATAACATAACATAACATAACATAACATAACATAACATAACATAACATAACATAACATAACATAACATAACATAACATAACATAATATAATATAATATAATATAATATAATATAATATAATATAATATAATATAATATAATATAATATAATATAATATAATATAATATAATATGTATTCACTAACTACAAATCAACTCACCAGAAATTAAAATAGTCTATAAAGGTGATCAATATCAGTGTTGTATGCATATCAGGTAAACTCCATACTAGGCAGTATTGCACACTTGTATTAATTTTTGAATATTATTGTGTTTTGTTACGTATTAAAACTATCATGCATCATCCAATTCAACCACAATGTTCTTGTCACCTGCTTTGCGTTTCACTCAAAATTCAAAGGACTTGCTTCCACCGATTTCTATATCCGATTCAAGTTTTTTTTTGTTTGTTTGTTTGTTTGTATTTCATACATTTTAATCCCAAAAATTATCATATAACATACAAAGTTAGAATACACCCATTTTTCTCACCAAATATCTGGAATGAGTCTGAAGTGTGCTTTGTCATTTAATATGTGAATAATGGTTTTGACAAGTTAAGTCAAAGTAAAAAATTACTCTGGACTAAAGGGCAGGTGTGACCACTGCCCAGTCGAATCTCCAAAGGAGAGAATGTCGTAGGTCAAGTAACATATCTGCGTCGTTTTTCTTTTTGTCAGGTGTAACAGTTACTACTTTTGTCAGTATACATCTGTATCTCCACTTTCATGTGTTTATAGGTGTAACAGTTACATCCTCTATAAATATATAGGACATACGCACACGTATACAAAGGTGTAGTAAGTTGCTTATTAGTCATTGCATTTCGACGTTCAGTTCGTGTTATTTATACAATGCATCGGTAGTAAATATTTACCCAAAAACTTCTCACCGAGCAGAGAGGTGTTTGAAGCGAAAAATACCTCCAAAATGTCTCTTAAGTTTATTCCATTTGTATAGGTAGTCAGCGCATTTGTACGACCGCTCCAGTGACATAGTGGTTAGAGCGTCCGTCTCGGATGCGGGAGGTCGCGGGATATGAACCCTGGCTGAGTCATACCAAAAACGTTTTGTGATAAAAGAAAACGGTATTTATAGCTGTCTCACCAGGCGCTCAGCATTAAGAGGTGAGTGTTAGGACTGGTCAGCCCGTTGTCAGTATAATGTGACTAGATTGGACTTCATGCTGTATACCTGCGGCATGATATACTCCAGTGCTAGACATCACTATAAACCGCCACACTTTAGACATCGTAGCTATAAGACTGAACATTTTTTAAAGCTAAGTTACAAATCCAAATCAAATAAGTACCCGTATGACGCGAATTGAATGCATTTGTAAGACCAGTATGATCCGTACATGGAAGGATTTTAATAAGAACTGGACAATGAAACGTTTGTTTGTTAACGGCTGCAGTCAACTATTAGGGTTTTTTTTCTAAAAAAAATATGCATGTAACACCGAGAATAAATTGAACCAAACATCTTTTTTGTTTGTTTTTTTTTTAATTTCTTTTAGTTTTTTTTATTTAAAAAAAACATGCTTAGGAAACTAAACAAACACATTTGCAAAATGTACTCTTCAATTTTCTTTTCAAAGTGCGATGTGTCTTTTATACGTTCAGTCGTTTTACAAATGAATGAACTGCAACTTAGCCCTTAAACCAACATGTACAAGAATGAGTCAAATTGTTGTAAAGCAACAACTTTTGACGTAGCAAAATAAATGGGCATGCGCCATAATAAACTGTGCTGTCCATTGAATCACCAAAATTCCTAGAAGACCATATTACACTAATGAACATGCAACCAAATGTTGCAATATTAGTTTTAACTATTGAAACAAGCAGAACAAGCCAAAGCCACAATTTCCACAAAAGGACTATGCAACATGTTTTCTGACAGACATGTCTCCATATTGAAATCGACAATCTAAGATTCAGAGATTTGAAATCTTAAAAAAAAAAATAAACACATATTTGTATTCGTGTTCTGTTTTCAAATTGACTATTTATGATCGATCCATACCACAATTATGTTTTTGTAAGAGACCGACAATTTGAATTTCAAGATATTTCTTCCATTCTTTTCTCATATTTGTATTGTTTAAAAATTCTGTATATTATATATTTCTTCCTTTGAATCTTTTATAAAAGACAGTAGATTCCTGCACCGCATGCGAAGACAGACTTTGTATGACCACAAATGACGTAGGCGAGGGATGGTAGGTACTTTGAACCCATCTCTCTTCTATATCCTTTGTAATCACAAGAGCGCCTGATTGTTGTATGACATGCTAGGTCAGCGTGAATAACGAACTGAAAATGAAAATGGCGTTAACCATTTATCAAGTTTAATCACGTTCATGTGAGGTATGTGTCTCACACAATACAAAATAGCCGTCATCTTTGGAAATGACCAATTCAACTGGATTACGTTGATCAACTGGGCAAATAGCTTCTGAACAACCGCTACAGAGAGACAGCCACAAATCCAGGCACATCCAGTCTATATCCGGCCCAATGGCATGCAGCAGATGACATGTTGAGTTGTCATACCCCCTGAGAGTTCCGAAAAATTGGGCGAAATGAAACATAAAAATATAAAGAGTTGTGTAGTGGAAAAGTAACTTTGTGCATTTAGACTACACACGAATGCATGTACATAGATTCATTTTAATGTATTAAAGGAGAACTTTTGTGTCACCTAAACTTTTAATTCGTAAATTCTATACATGTCAGCCAAACAATAAAAATCGGTTGTTTATTTTTCTTTCATCGCGTGAACACGGAAAAGAATCGTTTCATCGTTACCGCACACAAATATAAGAACATAATCATGTATTGGAAAAAAAAATACCAATGAAACATAGTACCCATTATTTACATTTCTCTACTTTATTTGTATTTCCTCTCCCTTCACGTGCAGCTTTACCGATTATACACATTAATTCCCTCTTAAACAATCTCTCCCGTATGAGTATAAGGGAATCTGTAACTCTGATGGTGAGGTGATCTCTTTTCTATATGGTAAACTTAACTTTAAAATCTCTTTGCGCGGTGCACTTTCGGATCGGATAGCATTAACAAATACCTGCACAATAGAGAGGCATGAAATGATAGCACCAATGCTTTCTACCCGTATACGATATGTCGCCACATCTAACAAAACTCACCTGCCATTTTAAAAGTGATGATTAATTACCTATCATGGATTTAGACAGGTAAACCATAAAGGCATACCCATCCTCTTAGCTGACGAAGACGTGCAATATTGATATATCAAGTTACATAAAAATAACTTCTTTTGGAAAGGGTATTAAACGGATTTTTATCTTCATATATTTCATCAAAAATGCTTTTTGGTAAAAGTGGAATTCCATGTTAGAAGTCCTAACGTCATTACCGTAGAAACGGATACTAATTTAATTTATTAAAATATTTTTGTAGTTTGTTGCTATACTGATAATGTTTAGCCATGCAATACTTGTCGTTTTTGCTCATCTCCGAGTTTACGTGCAAGTATATATGTCAGTATTGCGCCTAGTCATGCAACGTTTTGTCTACTTTTTTTTAAACAAAAGTTTGACACTATTATATGATATCTGGATGTATTTTTAAGGTAAATTCATATGGCAGTTGGCATTTTCATACATACAAAATAAGTGTGATATAGCAAGACTCATCAAATATGCTTGTAACTTTTCCAAGATGACACGAAATAATGTTGATAGCAAAACGATGATCTTTGTTTGTCTCTATCGGAAAATATGGAGAACTTAAGTCATGGTCCCTTATAACCAATAAAACTGTCTTTTTTCGATCTGTTATGGTCAAAATAGACACTTCACTTGTTTGTATGTAGGATCCAGGTCGCACATAAATGGATTTGAATATATTTTTATATTCTTTTACTATTGTTGTTTTGAGGGTTTATCATCATCATCATCATCATCATCATCATCATCATCATCATCATCATCATCATCATCATCATCATCATCATCATCATCATCTTCTTCTTCTTCTTCTTCTTCTTCTTCTTCTTCTTCTTCTTCTTCTTCTTCTTTTTCTTCTTCTTCTTCTTCTTCTTCTTCTTCTTCTTCTTCTTCTTCTTCTTCTTCTTCTTCTTGATAGTTGGCTTAAGGAAAAAAAAAAACAAGGAGCGAATAAAAAGAAAGAAATTGAACCAGAAAAAAAAAACCTTTACAAATTTTCTTGTGTATGTGTGTTTGTGTGCGTTCAACCACGCGCCACATTTTCTGTATTTAGCTCACCTTTTGACCACTGTTTCCATATAAGGATGGAAGTAGTACCAAATATTCATTTTGCACAAGTGGGCAAACAGAAAGGTGTAGTGTATAGTGCAGTTTAACATATTACTATCGTTTTGGTGGTATTAGAAATCCAACTACTACAAATAAATGGAAATATTGCCATCCATACAGTTTTATTTTTGGTGGGTGGGTGGCTGGATGAAATGGGGATTAATTGACATCCCCAGGAGATGGTTTGGGGTGAGTATGGAACTCGCAAGGAATTCGCAACCCTCCAACGTTCTATCAAATAAACTACAGTGACTCCCCCATATTATCAAACTTTAAAATGTTACAAACTGAACACGTGTTAATAAGCGAGGCCTGGGGCAAGTAAGCATTGGGGGTGTGATGTGATGTGATGTAATTATGATTTTTAACGTAACTTTAACAATTTTTCAGTTATATCGCTACAATATCTGCAGTGTGGTAGTTTATAGTGATGTCTAACACTGGGGCATCATGCCGCAGACATGTATCATGATGTCCAACCCAGTCACATTATCCTGACACCAGACCGACCAGTCCTAACACTGACCACTTAATGCTGAGCGTCAAGCGAGGCAGCTGTAAGTACCATTTGTATTCGTCATTGGTATGACTGGACCGGGGATCGAACCCACAACCTCCCGCAACCCAGGCGGACGCTCTAACCACTAGGCCACTGGAGCGGTTAGCAAGCATTGTAATACTGATTGAAAGGGCAGTGGTCCAAAACTTTGCAGAGATAAAAGAAATATTTTTCTGTATAAAAGACCTCTATACTAGCCGTCAACATGTGTATATTTTCTGCTTGTACAAAAAATGCACCCATGTACACAATAAATGATGACTTCTCCCTTGCTATATCTATCTATCTATCTATCTATCTATCTATCTATCTATCTATCTATCTATCTATCTATCTATCCATCCATCCATCCATCCATCCATCCATCCATCCATCCATCCATCCATCCATCCATCCATCCATCCATCCATCCATCCATCCATCCATCCATCCATCCATCCATCCATCCATCCATCCATCCATCCATCCATCCATCCATCTATCTATCTATCTATCTATCTATCTATCTATCTATCTATCTATCTATCTATCTATCTATCTATCTATCTATTTTAGGGTGACTCCCTTAGCAACAACTTGATTTATATAGTAAAAAGCTATTTGACTCCTTTGGAACCAATTTTGATAATAATTGGTATCATAATTTGCTTGGACATTTTCTTTCAAAATGATGAATGGGTCTGCTACCCAATCAACAGTATAGCTTCCATAGCAACCATGTTGAAAGCTTATTTCAAAATCTCCAAAACGGTGGAGTCATTTCAGATTTGATCAGGTTTGTTTGGAATGATTCTTAGGAAATGCTGTATAAAAATTATGTTCTTGGTGGCTCTATTAGCAAGTGTGTTTTCCATAGAAACAATTTTGAAAACCTCTTTTAAACTTTTCTATAACAGCTGAAACAGGTCTGATAATCCTAGTTGGAGCTTTCTATCAAAATAATGTCTAACGTGGCTACCCAAGCAGCAGTGTGGCTTCCATATAAAACAAATTAAAAAATCTATAAAGCTATGTTTAGCATCATGTTCAGAATGGCACATCAGATTTTGATTGGCCTGCCATAATTGTTTCTTAGGGTTTTTTTTAGGATATGCTATCTGAAACGTTATATCTGGGGTATCTTTCCTAGCCATTGCATATTTTCCATATCACCTAGATGGAAAACAGTGCATAATATAGTCCAGCCAAAATTACTCTGTGTAGAAATATAATTAAGCAATTTGCGAAATATAACATATTTCTTTCAAATAGCTGGAAAATTTTTCGAGATGATATATTTCAATTGCATTATTACTGTATTTGCATTGTAGACTAATGTGTATCGGTGTGTGGAATCGGACTTAAATAAGTCTCTTGTTTCATTTTTATGGTGAATGTTCGTGTATTCTACCTTTGAAAAAACCTCCAACAGAGAGTAACAAACTACTTGAATTTTAGAGCGCAAATCTTAAGCTCAGATTCAAAACATCAGGAATATGATTTCTGGAGTATACCTGGATTTTTAAAATTTATCTTACTTATAATGAAGGTAGAGGACTGCAATATTTGCAAGACTGTCCTAATTTAAGTAACAGATAGTAAAATGGGTGACATTTTGAACTCGAGTTTCCTGCTCAGAAACTATTGAGAATAAAAATCTAGAAAAACATTTATAATATAAAGTTCGTATTATTATACAAAACTTTAGATTTCTTTAGGATTTGGAACTTGCTATCATGTGCTTGAGTTTCTATATACACAAGATTGGTGAACATTAGATCAGAAGTAGGTCAATTTATTCTTCTTTCATTACTTATTTCGCAAATGTCATCTTAACTCCTTACTTGTATCCATTAAATAGCGCAAACAATTTTTGTTAAAATCATCATCTAAAAAAGTGTCAGTTCATAATTTTGATAATTTATACTGTGACAGTTTTGAGGATTCCTTTTTCAATACAAATGCAAATTTTCAGCATAAACATCTCACGGTTTCTCGACTCTGAACATTTGGAACTAGCATAAGAAGATATCAAGAGATCAGAGGACATGGTATAAAATTTCAATGCAGGATAAGCACGGTTTATGAACATAAAAGCCCTCTTGTCTCCATTTTGTGATCTACTCCAGTGATTTTTGATTTTTATCTAGGTAGGCAAATACTAAGAAGACCAATAATGTTCCACATGATAAATTACAAAATTAATAGGAAAATAAGTTATCTCTATATAAACATATAAAAGCGGATTATTCAGATAAGCACATGAAAGCGGCTTCCTCAGATAAGCATATTAAAGCGGTTCACTCAAATAAGCGTATGAAAGCGGTTCACTCAGATAAGCATATGAAAGCGGTTCACTCATATAAGCGTATGAAAGCGGTTCACTCAAATAAGCATATGAAACGGTTCACTCAGATAAGCATATTAAAGCGGTTCACTCAATTGAGCGTATAAAAGCGGTTCACTCAGATAAGCATATGAAAGCGGTTCACTCAGATAAGCACATGAAAGCGGATTACTCAGATAGGTATATGAAAGCGGTTCACCCAGATAAGCGCATGAAAGAGATTCACTCAGATAAGCATATAAAAGTGGTTCACTCAAATATGCGTATGAAAGCGGTTCACTCAGATAATCAAATGAAAGCGATTTCCTCAGAAAGAGTATAAAAGCGGTTCACTCAGACAAGCGGTTCTCTCAGATAATCAAATGAAAGCGGTTCCCTCAGAAAAGCGTATAAAAGCGGTTCATTCATGAAAGCATATGAAAGCAGTTAGCTCAGATAAGTGTATAAAAGCGGTTCACTCAGATAAGCGTATGAAAGCGGTTTACTCAAATAAGTGCATGAAAGAGGTTCATTCAAATAAGCGTATGTTCAGTCAGAGAATCAAATGAAAGTGGTTCACTCAGATAAGCATATGAAAGTGGTTCACTCAGATAAGCATATGAAAGCTGTTCACTCAGATAATCAAATGAAAGCGGTTCACTCAGAGAACGGTATGAAAGCTGTTCACTCAGATAATCAAATGAAAGCGGTTCACTCAGGGAAAGGTATGAAAGTGGTTCACTCAAATAAGCGTATGAAAGCGGTTCACTCAGATAGCATATGAAAGCGGTTCACTCAGATAAACAAATGATAGCGGTTCACTAAGATAAGCGTATGAAAGCGGCTCACTCGGATAAGGGCATGAAAGGGGTTCCCTCTGATAAGCGTATGAAAGCGGTTTACTCAAAAAAGCGTATGAAAGCGGTTCACTCAAATAAGCGTATGAATACGGTTCACTCAGATAAGCATATGAAAACTGTTCACTCAAATATGCGTATGAAAGCGGTTCACTCAGATAAGTATATCAAAGCAGTTCACTCAGATAAGCATTTGCAAGGGGTTTCCTCTGATAATCAAATGAAAGCGGTTCATTCAGCGTAAGAAAGCTGTTCAGTAAGATAAGCTTATGAAAGCGGTTCACTCAGATAAGCATATGAAAGTGGTTCACTTAGATAAGCACATGAAAAGCGGTTCACTCTGTATAATTTGCCGATACATCCATAAGGGAAACTCAGTTTGTTGTACTTTGTTTTAGTTTAGATACATTTTACGGTATTTTAACATCTTTTCCTTTCATCATTTGTCCTGAGGTACTTGATGTTAAGATTTGTTTGGAAAGGTTAATCTGTGCAATTGTTGACATTTTCATTTTTAAAAAATACTTAGTTTTCCATTGTTGTGCTGAGATGCATTTAAAACGTAATACGAGTGTATATGTCGTATTCGTACTCACCTTGACCAACAAAATTTAGTCCTGCAAGTACTGCAAATTTTTATACTCCCAAATAACTGCATTAGTTATTATAACCCAGTTTTTAAAATCAAAATAGTCCTCTCGTTTTTCAGAGTAAATGAAGAAGAAATTAGAACCTTCTGTTGTAGCCATACGCCCTTGTACAGAGACAGCTTGAAAGATGGAGACAATGTTGCAGCTGTCGTTGCAACACACCACGACACTTGATTATATCAGTTATCTGATAAATATTCCACTTTTACAGCAGATATTATACCCATACTAAAATTTATCAACGTCAATAATATCTCTAAAAATAATCTTTTCGGATTCCTTTTCCGCTGTACAAACCTGGCAAACCTTCAAATCTAACATCGTGGTTATATCCCAAAACGTACAGAAACACGATTTGTTTAAACAATTTGGAAAAAAAATTACACTGTACTGTTTATTGGTTACCTGGTAACATTGGTATGAATGACAATGCAAGGACTAATAAAACAGGCACAACAAAATAAATGGAATGAAAGGCTTCAGATGATACGCTTCAATGAAACACGCTTTATAATGGGATGTTGTGTCATTGCAGTGGAGATGAGGTAGTATTGTGTTGAATGTGTATTAGCTGTTCGTTTCGTATAATAAGTGAACCTCAACCAGATTGCATTTCCTGCCTGTGTCCACCAAGAGTGCATACGTCCTTGGTATGTGTATTGACTTCCAATATTAGTATTTTTATTTGAACTTGATTATAAACAAAAGTATAGGCCAGAAGGACACAGGCTTCATTCTTGACCAATTAGAACCCCACATTGATATAATTTTTTCCGCTTAGTGGAAATGGCGGTACTACAATTCTTAAAATTGTTGGCTTCGTTTATATTTACGATCACCTAGACATCGTAAAAAGTCTTTAGGTGAAAACCGTGTGTTGATATAACCATCACTCCTGTAGAACTGGTAACAACATGCGTTTCAAGACAAATCCCACGGCAACAAAACTAGAAGTTTTAACGGCACCATTTTCATTAGGATAAAGAAGAGTTAATTGGACCTCTTATGGTGGAAACCCCATGGTGATAACCACGGTCCTTTCAGAATAAGTAAAAATAAAGAAGGCAACCTTTTTATAAAAAAAAAAAAACAAAGGAAGGGAAAAAGTAAATGGAATAGTTTATACGGAAAAAATGTCTGAAATTTATATCAACTACTAAAAAAAATCAACAATTGCATCTTGACTTGACTTAAACTACATAAACTTAAACAAATGCATGTTCTTGCTGTTTGATGTCTCTTTGGTCGTAGTTGTCTGCTTTCTTAAACACCTAACTCCACA